GTTATTGTGTTTTTCTTTTTAAGACAAAAGATGTTAATCTATGAGTTGTTTTCTCTAAACTAAAACTTCAGTATTCAGGTTTAATTGCAGTATTGGCAGTTAGCAGATAAATGAGTGGGTTTTGTGTTCCAGCTTGGCATTTGGTCTGTACGGATTCAGCATCACTGATTCAGCCTTCATTGCAGTTAGGAGCCTATAACTTGAATTATTTACAAAACATTAATAGGTGGCTGGAATTTGATATGCAGACTCAGTATTTTTGAGGTATTTCTATACCTATAGTTCTGTAGAGTGCTGGTTGGAAAAATGCAGTTATAGTGATGAGAGTGGTAATGCTGTGAAGAAGATAGGACTTGTTGCTTATCTTTAGAAAATAAAGTAGTTTTCTTAACTAAACTATCATACATGTACTATAATACTTAGGAAATGTTGGGGGGCTGGGGAGATGGCTCAGTGGAATAAGTGCTTCCCTGGCAAGTGCAAGGGCCTGAGTTCAAACCCCGGTTCCGCCAAAACAAACAAACAAAAATTTAGGAAATGCAGAGAGAAGGAAGAGGGGAAGTTATGGTATTTTATTCGGAGGGTCTGTTAATGTCTTTTTATTTTATATATTTACATAATGCATTTTTTATTTTTAGATAAACTAAATGTTACTGATTCTGTCATAAACAAAGTCACTGAGAAATCTAGACAAAAGGAAGCAGATATGTAAGTAATATTTTAATTATACAATATGGGTGATAGGGATAAACTCTAGACTAACAAAATTGTTTGGCAGAGGGTGCTTATTTGTTTTGTTGTAGCTTAATAGCTTCAAAGTTAATTTGAAAATTCTAAATGAGTCTTAGAAAGTACATGATGAAACTATAATTTGCAAAAGTCACAGGTTGATTTCATGGAAGTAATCATATGTTTATAGCTTTCAGTTAGGCTAAATATGTAAAACTGGCCCTGTTTTAGAATTATGTCCTTCCATGAAGTATTTATAAAAATCTAGGGGAAGTTTTAAAATTAAAGAGATAACTGAGAACTATTATTATGTATACTTTTGTTTTTAAAGCAAATTGTTTTAAAATCTGGCTAACTTCTCTTATATGCAGTTATTACCATTTTGTTATAGAAAATAACACTCCAACTAGCAGTGTTAGAACTGCCTTAAAAGCCAAGCTTTTTTGTAAAGTTTTGTTTTGTTCAAGAGAACAGCTTCTAGAGACCGCCACTCTCTTGTTACCGCTGGTGTGTCTGTTCCTGTGTATAGAATCTGTTAGTTAGGGCTCATGTGCTCCATAGAGTCTGAGCTGAAGCAGAGCAGAGTCCGCGTGTGAAGACTAAAGAGAAAGCCTTACAAATAAGTGGCTTTTGTTCTGTGCTATTAGACCCTTTGGAGATGTTTGAGGACAGACAGGCTCCCTAGTTTCTTGTCTCTTTGCTCCTGCTTCCATTTTATTCAGTGCTTCTGGGGTGCCAAGGGCGTTTCTTACATGTGGGCCACTTCACCCTAGAAGTGTGTTCTCAGGAAACGACAGAAGCATCTTAGGGTAAAGAATCTACGGGTGAATCACGAAATTGTATTTTGAAACAAATTACTTAGGCATTTTCATAGAGTGTTGTACGCTTAGGAGCTTTATTTTGGTTTCCCTCACTACAGTTTGCATGTGTTGATTATATTTTTTGTCTTTGGTTAGGTATCGTATCAAAGATAAGGCAGACAGAGCAACCGTAGAACAGGTACAGTTTACATGTATTGCAAGCTCTTATTTTAAATTAGCATTTCTTTCCTCTTTGGCTTATTGTTTGCTTTTCTCCTTGCTTAATGCTAATGTTACCTAAAGCTGTTCCTATGCAAAATTACTACTTTGTGTAGTTGTGAACTTAGAAATCAACATTTGGCTTTTGAGTAGAACCGTTGATTGATGAATCACAGTCCCAGCTCCGCCATTGTCTTGTGCATCCACCATGCAGTATTTTCTGCCTCTCAGAAGCAGAGAGGTTGTCAGACTAGGAATCGTTCTTAAGCAGGTTCTGTCCTCATTCTGTATCTTCCTCAGAAAATAGATTGATTGCCATGAAGCAGAGTGTAAAGAGGGCAGAGAAGTAATGCTCTTAAATTTGTTGAAATCCTTTTTTTTTTTTTGCGGAACCAGGAATTGAACTCAGGCCCTTGTGCTTGCCAGGGAAGCGCTTATTCTACTGAGCCATCTCCCTGACCCATGAAATCCCTTTCTTGCAGAAACCATGTGTTTCATTTTTTTCTGTTTAAGAGGGGAAGAAAATTGACCCCTAACTTTCTTTTTTTTAAAAATGTATTTAGTACAGGGACTACAGGGTCTCACTACATAGTGACTGGAAGTGATCCTCCTGTTTACATCCTACCAAATGCTGAGATTACAGACATACACCACCATGCCCAGTCTTAATCACCGGCTCAGCACGCCCTGTGGATGGGGCTGGCACAGCAAGCCTGGGGATTGAACTGTTGGCCCCTGCGTCTGCCTAAACACACATTTTAATCCGCAGATCTGTTTGGTCAGCCCTACCCCAATCTTTCCTACATGCAGAGGGAGGTGATTGGATGTTACCATTGGTTCAGATTTTCTTTGTCAGGGCCAGCCAAATAGCTCAATGGATTAAAGCACCTGCAGGCAGGCACAGGGGCTGGGGTCCGATCCCCAGGCCTGCTATGGTGGCGCACGCCTATAATCCGAGCTCTTGGGAGGCTACAAACAGGCGGGTCACTATAAGTCCAATCTAGTATTGAGACCCTGAACACTCTGTAGACCCTTCCCTAAAATACAAAACAAAAAAATTTTTTGATGTGAAGAAAATGAGCTATTGTTGCCTACTGCCCCTTTTACCCGTAAACATGTGCAAACATTTCAGGTACTCTTTTCTTTACCTGCAGACCCCTGGCTTAAGATATAAATACCTGTGTCGTCTACCTCACCCCAAAGGAATAGCTTCTTCCCAGTGGTTCTGGGAAGTGGTTCTGAGCAAGGTCTGGGCCTGGGTCTGGATCTTCAGTGTCCTGTAATTTCTGTTTTGTTTTTTGTTTTGTCTTTTTGAGATAGGGTTTCACTATGCAGTTCAGGCTGGCCATGAACTTGAAGAGATCCTCAGCCTCAGCCTCAGCCTCAGCCTCCTGAATGCTAGTGTTACTGGCATGCACCACCATGTCTGCCCTTTATGTGATTGGTTTGTGTAATTGAAAGCAAAGTATGTAGTCTGCTTCAGAGAGATGAGGTGCATCCTTAATTTTCAGACTCTAAAATAACTTAGGAGATCTTTTCTCTTATTTTAAAATTAATTTTGAATGATAGATTATATTGATTTTTTTCCCTTTTTTTTGGTACTGGGGATTGAATTCAGGACCTTGAAGCCACTGAGCTATCTCTCCAGCCTGAGTCTTTGCTTTTTTATTTTTAAAAGGTATTTGTCTCCAAGTCTGTTTTTCTCATTCTTTTTTTTTTTTTTTCTTAAGACAGTACTGTGCTGTCCTTTCATACATACCTTACAGATCTCCCTAAGAATTCTGCAGAAGTGCAGGTCCCTCCCAGATCCCTGCACCCTGCCAGCCCACCCTCTGGATGAGCCTCTGCAGCAGGGAAGGAGAGGGTGTCAGTGGCTGTGTGCTCACTTCGTTGGCTTGCTGTGGCTGCAGTGTGGCATGTAGGCCTCCAGTCAGCCATGCTTGTTTCTTTCCAGTAATCTTGCCCCCCTCAGTGTATGTGCGATCCTGGCCTATGTTGAGGCTTGTAAGTTGTCCTGCCTCGCTGCAGTGCTGGAGGGGCGCTCTGAGCCGTGTGAAGCCCTGCTGTTGCCCTCTGGAACCACACATATGCACGCACACACAAACACACGTCGGGTGGCTTCAGGTTTAGAGATAGATGAGAACAGGCTTTACATTTGTTGCCTTTAAATTCTTTGTTAAGAGGACATTGAAATCTTTTTTTTACTAAAACTGAATACTTTCAGGGTGCACCTGTAGTCAAAGGTACTTGGGAGGCTAAAGTAAGAGGATCGCTTGAGACCACAGGTTTGAGATGACTGTGGGTAACCTTTAGGACCCTGTTTCAAAGAAAAGCTTGGCATCTGGTTTTGGAGACTTTCCCCGACTTCTTCCAAAAGAGCAGGCACCTGCAGACTCATCTTGACAGAGCCAAGCCCTGAGTCCTGAGGCTTTGAGCTCATGTGTAGTTTCTGCCGAATGGTCTCTTTTACAAGACTCAAGTGTCCAAACCACTTTCAGTTTGGAGGCTGTAGAAAAAGAAGCAGTAGCCAAGATTTGGCCCATGGGCTGTAGGGTGCTGGACCCTGGCTTAAAGCTGCCCGGCCAGTGCACACTGAATCCGGAAGACTTAGTATTAAAAAATAAGTTAAATGTCTTAGTAATGGCTGCCTATATTGATTGTGTGCTTAAGTGATAGTTTTAGACATACTGAGTTAAACAAAATATATTAAAATCATCTCACCTGTTTTTATTTCTTTTAATAAAGTGACGAGGATATAAAATTACTTAGGTGGTTGTCATTGTATTTCTGTTAGTCCATTTCTGCTTCCCTCCCATTGAAAGGCATTGATTTCCAGGGCTTGGTGAACGCCTTGGCTTGGGTCCCTGGATGCTTTGTCTTCTGCCTCGCTTACTGAACTACAGAACTCCAAGGGAAGATGGACACGGACTCTAGAGCTGCCCAGAGCAGCGTGGGCACGAAGCTCTTCAGTGTGCTGTTGTGTTTTAATGTGACGTGGAACCGTCTTCTGGACTTCTCATGTTTTGCATTTCTTTGTAGGTTTTGGATCCCAGGACAAGAATGATTTTATTCAAGCTGTTGACAAGAGGGATCATATCAGAGATCAATGGCTGCATTAGTACAGGCAAAGAAGTGAGCTTTGCTTTGGATGACTAAGTGTTTTCATGGTAGCTTTCTTCAAATAACAACTGCAACGTTGGCACTCATAAATGAATTGTGCCTTTAAAGAGAAAAAAGGGGGTGCTGGAAGTATAGCTCAGTGGCAGAGCAGTAGGTACGTGCGACCTCGTGAGTGAATGAGCCCAAGACCACGACATCCAGTCCGCCCAGGGTATGCAGTGCAGTGTTTCTAAGCTGGCTGGCTTTATTAATAGTTACAACTGGGTGAGAAATTGTAGAATAACTGTCTTTTTCCACTGTAGTTACTTTCTGTCACTTTATCCCTGAGTTCAGTTGTGCCTGCTGTAGGCTTCTATGGTCAGATTGCTGCAGGCATCTGTTGTCATTAAGAAGTTGCTAGCTGGGAGCCCAGTGTGGCATGGCAGGCCTGTGAGTGCCAGTGGCCTGGGACACTGAGGTGGGAGAAATGCAGATTCGAGCCCAACCTGGGCAACCAGCAAGACCCTATCTCGAAACAATAAAACATGGGCCAAGCAGGTAGCACAGCAGACTGAAGTGCCTGCCTAGGCAGTTGCAGGGACTGGGGTTCAATTCCCAGCATGCCATGCTGGCCCTGCCCCCGGGGTGCACTGAGACTGGGCATGGTGGCACACACCTGTAATCCCAATGCTTAAAAGGCGGAAAACAGGAAGATTACTACAAGTCCAATCTGTGTAGTCAGACCCTGTATTAAAATGCACTGATAATAATACAAAGTGAAGAGAGCTGGGACTGTATGGGAATATAGCTCCATGATAGTGTACCACTGGGTTTTACCCCTCCACCAAAGCTTAAGTACAGAGAGGCAGTATATCCAGTAG